TGCGGCACCGGCGGTGACTGCATGCGACTGCATTAACATGCCGACAGCAGGGTCAAATGCCGCAGTATATGAACGACATGTCGCGAATATACGACCTCAGTAATTATACCTGCAGCTGGTACCGTCAATACAGAATTGAAAATTTATAATTTTATATAACGATGCACATTCATACCTCATACATTTTCCCGACATTTATTTATAACTAGCTTTCCACCAGCGGCTTCGCCCGCGTGGTCTTGTATTATACATAAAAACCTACCTTTTGAATGACCTTATCCATGAAAAAAAACCGCATCAAAATCCGTTGCGTAGTTTTAAAGATTTAAGCATACGTAGGGATACAGGGACAGAGAAAGCGACTTTGTTTTATACTGTGTAGTGATATTTAATTTATTTAAATATCTATATTTGTTTAAATTATTTATAATTTATTTAAATATAATTTAATTTATCGAAGAAGTATTACCCAGATCCTCGCCGCTTAAAACGAAGTCATAATCATATATATCGCTATAAGAATGTTTTATAATGTTATGTTCGTGAAAGATTTTTTAATGTGGGTTTGGTAAATTCAGAGCCTATCAATGCAAATAAACATTCTAATTGTTCCTCTTTGTAATATTGGTTTATATACGAGTATTTATATTTTTTTATAATGATCTATTTTCTTTTTATTTGTGAATTTAATCAATAAATTTTCAACCATTTCAACTGACATACAAGGGAACTTGAAAGCTAATAAAGAATATAACCGTTAGCACTTTAATTTGAACCCGCTCAAAATCATATTGAATATATCAAATTATAATAAAATATTACTTGGGTAAGTACTGTAGCATCCATGTCGCCGAAGTGATTTTCTTTTGTAGAATAAAAGAGGCAGTTTTCAAAATTCTTCAGCTTATTCTCAATTACTTTTTTTATAATAACTGTTTTAGTTATTATATCTTAGTTCCTATTATTCCTCAGCCGGTCCAAACCAATAAGAATTTATTAACCAGCAAGAAAAGACAACACGTATTAAATTTAACTAAAATTAAAAACGAAACTAACTAAAACTAAATTTTCAAATATATAGCGGCCAGCATTGACCGAAAGTCGTTCGAAGAGTAAATCCATAGTTATGTGCATGGACGCTACAGTACTTATTAATAAGTATTTCCATGAAATTATAATTTAAGAACATAGATCGACGGCTTTAGGCTGATCAATCCGAGGCGAAGGAGGCGAACGAAAAGCATTTTCTTCACATCTCATGAATGAATGACAGATGACGTTAGTATTTCAGTTCGTATATTATAAAGAATTCTAATATTACTTCATTACACAATCAATCAATCAAAATATTTTTTATATAGCTTTGCAATCATTGACAACGGAATTTTAAAAATATTCAATAACTTAAGTCTATAAACAATTGAAAGAATTAAATATGAATTTCAAATATACTCTTAAAATATCCTTAGTTCTTTGAAAGCGGCTCATACAAAGGACATAATTGTAGCCCTAATGGCTCCTCGGTTAAATACACAGATAACAGTGTTGCCTGTTCCGAGAACCGAACTGGTGTTACGCATTCTTAAAGTTTACATCTACCGTACTTAAAATAATAATCATAATATAAAGAAGAAATTATAAAGTTTCTTGAGTCAATCCAATTTATGAAACTCTTTGAGAATAAACTTACTCTTTCATACAAAAAGTCATTACAACAAAAAATCAATTAACTAGAATATACAAACAAAAATAATTCGGTCAAGTTAATCACCTCCTACTTTTTAAGTCGAGCTTGAAAAAGTATCGGTTCCCCAACAAATTATTTACGTAATTCGGCTACTGAAACTCCACCAGTCTAAATATCAGATGTATTGTGTCGAAACGTTCCTTTGTGCCTGGTGATCCCAGCATTGCTACATCATTCATCAGTCACAGATCGGAGCCAACAACATCAGTCGTGGCCCGGTTTCAAATCGCAGTAGATTTTTGTGAAACAACTAATTGCAGAAATTGCGAAATCCGACATTAAAATTTCTTTTATCGTGAAAACGACGAAATTGACTGATCAAAGAAACGTGTGAGCGTATGGGATTTTTTTAAATTTATTTTGAGGCTGTCTGTTATATTGTACTTTATTTGTAGAAAAAATATATAAATCATATAAAATTACAAGACATTAGAATAGTTATCTTTTGTTGTCAGAGATTAATAAATTAAATTTACAGTAAACTGGCTTAAAATAAATAAATAAAACCTTTACTACCTTCTGAAGTAGGGTTTATTGAATTAAGATCTAAACTGTGACAACTTTACAACGTTAATTTTTTCACAGAATTAAAAACAGCTGGATCTGCGGCACGCTGGATTATTACTCCATCTATTGCTCCATAAATATTGCCTACACGAATAATAATGGGTTGTTCAGAGAGTTCTTTCGTTTTGTTTTGGTGAGACATGATTATAATTATTGTACAAGTATCTTTTATTATTATTACATTGCCATAAAAGAAACAACTTTTAAACGGTTTCATCGCGTTTGTATTTTTCTTTTTATTCCACGTTTCAGACCCTTCACAGGTTCCGTTTTGTGTGAACAAAACAACGCCAACGTCAACAAAAGAAATATACAAACGCGATGAAACCGTTTAAAAGTTGTTTCATTTATGGATAGTGCGCGTGAAAATATCAAAAGTCAATTTACATTAACCATTGTGACCTTATAGCTTTTGCCATCATTCAGACAGGAGGATTATAGAGTCCCTAATCTTAAAATGATTAATTGATCTAATTACTCTTTTCTGAATAATCTTATGGATGTACACATGTTATGAATATGTCCTTTTATTTTACTATTCCGCCATCTATTTTAATAAAAGAACGAATGATAAAGCATTACGATTCTGGAATCGGCAGCAGTATTGTCAACTTATTCATTAATTCCTATGGTTAATTCCAAATTTATCCATCAAAAGACATGTCGAAGTAATAAAATGAATCAAAATATCTCCGTCACATTGCTAGGATAATGCATCATGCTTAGAGTTAAGCAGTCGCACCCCAGATTAGTAGTGAAGGTATTATTGTACAAGGAAACAGTTTTTCTAATAGGTCATTGGTACCACTGATTTAAAATTAAAAACCTATGATCAATTAAACTAATTAATACATTTATGTTACACTGTACAGAACTTTCAGTAACACAAGCTTCCTAGAATATCACAATGAGTGATAGGTCCTCACCAGACTCGCCGGCTACAGACCACTACACACCATGAATGACAATCGTTTAATAGGGCTACTACATGATGATTGAAGTTATAAATTCTTGAAAACTTTCTGGAGTTGTTAACGATTCTGTTTTTTTTTTCTTAATATTCTTTACTTTATTGCTTAAAACTATTTAATAAATTAGGAATCTGTGGAACGTTCCATTTTATTACTTTATTTACTTATTCAACCTTACCACGAATTCTTACTACGAATGCATGTGAATACTTAAAATATATGAGCAACATTCCAAACCCGTTGTTTTGAGATAGCACCTTACTCAAGAATCGCGTCCGATCGACTCGATTGCGTTCGGGATTAAGAGGGAACATCTTTGAGCATCATTCTATTAAATTATACAGAAAATAGAGTAAAGCTAAACCGTTGGGGTTATAGAAAAATAAATATCCATAACCCTACACTGTAGTTACTTTTTAGACGTCAGGAAATTAAATTATCAGTTAATTACCTCTTCATTGAGATTGAGTTTCAATTAATTGTTTAAAGTATTTTTCAAGATGTAGTAACCCTATCCATTAAACAAGCCGGCACATGCTCACCATATGTTAAGGTCGACACCCTTCGCACCAACTTACTGTTTCGTCTAAGTTCGCATTTATTGTCTGACACATAAAGTCGTAATTATCTATTAAAAATGTTAAAAGAAAACCGGTAAAACATCTTATATGAGAAATTCAGTAACAAGGACTCGCCATTCCAAACAAATTGATTTGAAATTACTCTCTACTTTCGCGTGACTAAACATTACTTATAAATAAAAACTTTTAATTTAGCTTTACTTATATAGATTTCTTAAGTGTCGATGCAAATCTAAAGGATTATCCGACGAGCGTCTTACGCTAGTATACGACGGACCATCCGTCGAGATCGCAACGTTGATTGTCATATCATACATTTGTCAATTCTGCACGCATAGCATCACTAAGTCGAGAACGTTTTCGCTATACTCAAATGGCAAAATTTTCTTGAGTGCGCCTATACGATATTTCATTCTGGATTCGAGAAAAATTACGTTTGGTGTAGTAGTAGAAAAATTACAAAGGGTTTCTCAAGTTGGCCATGCTGCTATTCTATTCAAATATATCTTTTCTTTTATGAAAACAGACCCTAATACACAGCGCTGCTAGAGAGTAGAGATTCATTCGACTAAAATGTACTCGGAAACATAATAAAAGTTTATTGGTTTAATGCATTGAAGTTATAACCTTGACAGCGTTGAGCTTGATGTCGAGTTCGATTCTGATTTTTAACAGAATAGTGTAGCTAAAATTGCTCGAAATATTTGTAATCAGATATGTGCTGAAGAGCTAGATTATTTTATTTATCCATTGAAAAACAAGATACAATGTTGGAATTAGTCCAGCAAAACCGTATAAGCGGTTCGAGTGCCGTGTCTAAAGAAATTCATGACATTATTTAATGAGGTTATTTCTTAATTTTATACAAAACTTATCTTTAACAGTCTCTTGTCTAATGGCCGCGGGAAGACTATTTAGTACTTAGAGTAGGTAGATGACCTGGCAAAATTCATAATGTCCGTTGTTATTCTGTAATAATATCAGCCGCGAAGTCAATGGCGAGCACAGCACTGTCACAGCATAGAGGTCCAATGAAATAAAAACTTTATTAGGTGCCTTTTAAGTTAAAAAAAAAAATACAGGAAATAATATATTTTAGGTACATCATACAGTTTAAAACAAAACAACATCGTTGAATAATAGACATTTATTTAATTCTTAACATTAGCCGCTGGGGGGAGATGGAGCCGATCCGCCAGATCTTTGGGTACGTCCAGGTAGCTCCTCTCCAAGCCCACGGTAAGGAGTAGCGCCCGCAGCCGGTCCACCTCCACGAAGTCCCCCTCGCTGGACCACACCGTCATCGAGGAGTTCAGGTAAGCAGTTTCACGGAGCAGGTCCAGAAGTACAGGTTGACTGTTTGATGCTATGCCGGCCCGGACCTTTAGCACATTAGATAGCATCACATTCCAAGCATTATAGCTCAGATTCCAATAAGTTCAACCCTTCTTTTATGGAAACCTGAAACTAGCACCTGAATGTTTGGTAGATTTTTTTACAAATATATAATCTGTACTATACATTTAAAATTATTCGAATTTCTTAACTCATCATCACTAATTGAAATTAGTTTGATATTCCGCGTATACGAATGTTTGAATAAATGGTGTTACCATCGTTCGAAGCAATTAGCACTTCTAGTTAGTTATATTAAACACGAACAAATAAATCGCACCAACTAAATCTACGGTCAGAAGGAAAGATCCATAATGAATGTTAATTTAGATCTAGGCAAAAAAGCAAATCAAAAAATAAAAAGCGGTCTTCCACGGTTGAAAATTAAATATTTTTGATAAAAAACAAAGTCAATCCAGAATCCAGCTTATGAGCCTAACACGCTGTGTGCATCTGTTTCACTATAGCTAGAGGGGCATAGATTAAACCATTACAGTGAAGCGGAGACAATTAAAATGAGCGCAGGCGAGGTGACCTTCTGCAGTATCCTCGTTACATCTCCCGCTACTCCAATTGTTCAATCAGGGGATCCCCTACAATTAAACAAGTCTATTTATAACGATGACTTTCGATGCTTGTCTATGTGAAACGTCTGCCCGTTGCATAACTCCTCTACGACAACATGACATGGGGAAACATGACACTGCATAATGTACTAGAACCGACATCTACATTTTTCTAGAATAATATTTATGTATATTCTGTACATATTTTCACAGGGTTTTATAAGATAATTGTAAGTCTAGTAGTTTTATAGATCCAACAAAGAAAACAAAAAATGAAAAAAAAAGCAATATAACTATACCTACTCCATTATATGTATATACATAGATACATATGAATAGGGATGATGACTGGGTAAAAAAATGCAATTCTATTTAGTCCGTCAGCCAGATATTAGATACGTATTTGTTTTACTTCAATTTAACAAGAAATAGCTTAGATAACAGGCATTAAAGTTGAGGAGTGGGGGCTCGCTACGTCATAGCTGAGTAGAATAACGTACTCTAACGTGACGTCATGCGAAATTTCAACTCCATGTAACGCCGTAATTTTATGACAAATAAAAAAATACGTGTTTAATATTTTTTTACACTCTACCTGACGAACAAACAAACAAAATTAGTCATCATCCCTATTGCATGCTTACATGAATGTTGTTTAATGAGTTCCTTAAAAATATTAATGAACTTAGATTTCCTAATCGATACTGGTAGTGCATTACAAGCGCATGGCTTGGACTGTAAAAGACTTATCGTAGAAGATTATACAATGATACATACAAACCCAACCGATTTAATCAAGTTTCATTGAAGATTACAGAATCAGTTCACTTTCCCATCGTGCTACAACTTTCGAAGATGTGCCTTTCCTGAGTCAATAACAAGATTCAACAATATAACAAAGGCCCTTAGGCCAATGGTTAATATGAGATCTGAAGTTTTTAAGATGCCAAATGATAACATAGGAGGTTAAACAAAAAATAACTAATAACAATCAGATCTCTGAAGCATCATTGTAAACTGAAGTACTGAACTCATTTCTCGAGTACCGGACACAATAAGAAAAAGGATACCAAGGTAACTACAATAAATGACACCGGTTCAATCAGTTCCACATCACATTAGCTACAATCTCATCATCTATCCAAGCTAAACAAACATGCCATTTTCTTTACACTAGACATAATTACCGGTATCGTGACAGTCTGGTTGATGTGATTCTCGTGCAACTTCCTCAGCATAGTTCCGATATGCTCGCGACTGTACTCGCCCTCTGTTATGTTCCCGCCGTAATTAGTTGTCCAGCCCACTGAGAGAACAGCTCGGGGATGTTCAGAGGCGAGCTTTAGGAACTTGTCAGCGTCCACTGGCTTCGTGGTCGCCTTCACTGGCCCCGGTAGTATGTCAGCGTTAAGCCACAACGGGAATGTGATCTGGTGACATATTAAAGAGAAGGTAATATTTGAAAAGTTGGGGCATGTTCTTGTAGAAATTGGGCGTATAGAGTTAGAAGCGTGCGTGCGAATAAAAAGGTACCTTCTTCTGGACTTTTTAAACATAAGTATACATACTTCAGTCATTTTAACGGTGCATCGTAATTAAGTCTCACTCGAAAAACAAGGTTTATGGTGTTGCGTACAGATTACAGACACTTTCGATTAATTAGTGAGATCAAACGTCGGCGCGCGCGCATCGCCGCAAATATACGTAGAAGAAACATGCGCGTTGCGCAAATACTTTCAGTTAGAAACTTAGAGTATTCAATGACCCGATATCAAATTACAAGCTCTTTTAAGTGCTAACGAAGATCTTTAAAAGGCACAGCGATACTTTGCAGGGATTGAATTCATAAATGCATTTACTGTGAACATCAAATTCTTTATCCAAAAAAATGTGTTTTTTGGTACTTTTGAATAAAAAATTAGTCAAAGATATAAAATTGCTTGTTTAACATTAGTTTACGTGTCTAGTGAAGTTAAATATTGTAATTGCTACTTATACGTCCACAAGCAGTGTATGCCAATAAACTATATGAATTTTGTGTACGTTCTTTTTAAACTTACGGCCTTAATCAATGTATAACCCTTGTATAGATATGAAGCGTTATGTCTTTTTCACTCGAACTAGAAGTTACTTTAGAATGACATGAGCTATGTGTAACTAAACAACGGTTATAAGTTTCTTATTAGTACGGGTATAAATGTTTAAAAGATCTAAACTTAACCTTCAATGCACTAAATCGCAGTAAATTCTGTTCATATAGACGTAATTGTGAAGAGTCAATGGCGTTTCAATAACGCTTCTTTGACACAGATATTGTTACTAGAGATAGATTACAAAAAAAAATCAAACATTATGACGCGGTTATACTGTAACATTAACAGAACTGAGTCCCTGAAATTCAAGTCATTAAAAAGTTTTTTTCCTTACTTGTTTTATTTATTAAAAAAAGAGATTCCATACAATTTAATTATATTTTTAATTAATTAAACCACTCCGGTTGTAAAATTTCTGACTTTAATTCGTCTTTAGTTGAAAACTACTACAATTTAACTCGGTCGACATAATTCAGCTTTTAATCATTGCGTATATTTAACTGTTTTCGCTTATAGATACGAATACAATGGGTCGTATTCGTACAATATATTGGAGTGGCTTCCGCATATTGTGCTAATGTAATGTCACCTTAAGTCGCTTTGTTACTGCATTAATGAAGTCGTTATTTTTCAAGGCAGTTTCAATACAATTATTTATATTCTAACAACTCCGTTAAGTTTTCAAAAATAAAAATTTCGTTTATTTAAATTACAAATTTAGCTAAGCCCTATGAAAGAACTTCAATATTTTGGATAGGATTCATTCTTTAAGGTGATGCACAAAGCAAATTATAAATATGAAATGAAAAAAATATATCACGTTTTGAGGCAAGTCTCGAACACAGACGGGTGCAATAATTTATAAAAAAAATACAAAGGATCGAACGCCACAAGAGAAGATTACACACATATTTTGCTGAGAATTGTTACTTACAGAATATTTTTCTGTATTCTGGGATCGCTACCAATACAAAATTCAAATTCATTTTTATAGTGCCTATACTTGTAGGAATATAATCAGCTTTCTTTTTTACATATGACAAAGGAATCACATCAAACCCAAATGAATATTAGAATATTAGTATAAGTTAAGTTTAGAGAGAGTACTACAGACTTGTTGAAAACAATACCGTATTAATAGACTCATAAAGATGTTTATAAAAAGACAATTGAACGAAACAATTCATCCCAATCTGCATCGTCTGCTCTTCAATTATATTTTACCACCCAAAGAGTCACAACATATTACAAGCCAGTACCTCTGATCCCATTGTTTCATTATTTAAAAAATATATTTTTCAATTTTTTTTTTGTATTCATCTAACAAATTGAACTAAGTTAATGAAAAGCTTCTAAACTTAAAAATTTACAAGCTAATTTGGATCGCATTTTGTTGGGATAGAGTCCCATTGAAAGTTGAAAACGAAAAGCACATTTAATTTACCCATTTTTTTCTCCTGTTCGCATTTATAACTTGTAATAAGTATAAGTAAATCCATTAACTGTTTGATTACTACTAGTTTTTTTTTTTTAATTCCTTGTTATTTGAAACGATTTTTATGATTCTAATTCCATAAATCAGGTACTTCTAAAAACAATATATAATGGATATACGATGATTCAACATTTTTTACAAGAAGCATATCAATTTTATTTATAAATTACATTAGAAAAAGAAAGTTGTTTAGTTAAAAAATTTAAGACCTTAGAAATGATGACCTACCTCAGGCTTGCTGTAAGGAGCGATGATGGGTTGAGCTTTTTCGAACGCCTCTATAGACTTGAAGTCCAGCTTGACACCTTTCTGCTTGGAGTTCAGATTGTTATGCTGCTTCACCGTCGACAGGAACTCGGAGAGGCTCAGGTCGGAGGTGGTGGCTGGGGGGTGGGCCATGACGGGGATGGGTGGGCCATCTTTACCGGTGATGTGGCCTAGAACTATATCAGCCTCTAGCATGGATACATCACCTGTGAGAGACAATGAATAAATCATTAACAGTAAAAAAATATCAATGAGCAAACTTTTTCTTATGTTTTAGTATGTATAATATATTATATAAAACAGAATCGTCGAAATGTCTGTACGCGCATAACTTCCGAACGATTGCTGTCTTTTTATGTATTGTAAGGGCAAGGTGCGTATATGTATAAGAATATTTACAAAGAAAGAAAATAATATGGCGACTGAAGAATTAAAATACGGCGGTAAGAAGTTTACCGGATTCAAACATAAACGAAGAAAAATATAAGTATAATTAATATTATGCGCATTGCTATAGTAGTAATGGATTTGTATGTATATTGATAGAATTTAATGATCAGACTACGGAAAATGTAGGTATGTATGTTTTTAATAATAATATTTTTTTTTTTAATTATGTACAAAAATTAAACATTAATTTTAGATAATCAAGCCATAGAGACAAATGGTACAGACTCAGCTTAAGTTGAGTAAGAGCATACACCTACCTAACGCTGATTTGTAGTCACCCCTCTTTCCCAGAAGGTCAAGTTTGGGAATTATAGTGTGTTTGAATAGCAGCAAAAACTAAGCAAATATAACAAAGCTAAGAGTACTCTTTTATAAAATATTACGTTAACAAATTAATATCAAGTAGACACCAAGATAATATACAAGAAAAAAATCAAAAATTCATGTTAATACAAATAGATAATAGATAACACAATATTGGTACACTTTACAGCACATCAAACTCTGATTGATATGTCTAAATTATACCTTCATTTTGACACATTAATCAAGGCTTCAGTTATGCGTTTGACCCACTTGAACCGTTTTCGGTCAGTCTGTTAGTCTATTGCTAGTTATATTTAGTATCTACTCATTTTTAATAATTTTTATTCGTTTTTATTGCTATTAAGTTTCGGTTTTCCAAGTGTATATTATAAAGTTTAATTACAATATCGTTTAATGTACAATTTCATGCGTTAGTTTATATACAACGATTGTTATAAATCGCTCGGGCTTCGAGGAATAAGCGGCTCCAGAGCAACGAGGGGGCTACCGGGAACTGCATCTATTCCTGTATGTGGAACGGGACAAGTCACGAAATAGTGGCGACCATTTCTTTAGCGATTTTTAATATTATGAAATTAACTATGGCTAAAATACTAATAATATAAAGAAGAAGGATTTGATTGTTTGTTTATTTCGAAACTACTGGACAGATTTTTTAAATTCTTTCAACTACGAGACACTACATCATAAACGGGTGGCAGTAGACTATATATAATTTACGAGGGCGAAGTCACGACAAAACAGTTTTCAAATATACGAGTACAGATAGATAGATATAGCTTATTACAACAATAGATGTGTTCAATCTCCGATTAGGTAGGTTATGCAACTACCATAGGAACATCGGATACGTGATGAAAAATTTAATGTCTCTAGGTCTCCGTTATTTGGAAGTAACTGGCTGCATCTGTACACCCACCGATCTGGACTGGACATTTGCGGTGGGGTACGTTAGGTTGTTCAATTGGTGTAGGTTCGGAAGTGCCATTCTGTTATAAAAACATAACTTGTTGACGAGCGTAGCGATGTCATAGCATAGAGGTCCTAAGAAATAAAACCTACTTTAAAATATAACAAAGGTTGTATTTAGTTAAAGCTTTATGACGTGACTGAGCTGCTTTCGTCGACGAATTTGTATAAAATGCGAGCCGCAATCTATGCGGTTTTGCATTTTCAGCCACCTTAACCGCTTGCTACCAAAATTAATATTGATGGCTCTCTTTCAATTTGTACGTAGACATAACGTCAAAATAGACTGTACTTGTGAAGATTAAATTACAAAAATAAAAAAAATACAAAATTATTTATTCAGTCTAGGTTGTTATAAGCACATGTGAAAGTCTACGAAAGTCTAGAGCTACGCCATCGGTTCGTAAATCTACGGCGGGAGACCTTGTACCGAGAAGAACCGGCAAGAAACTCGGCAAGGGCTGCTTTTTTCTCCCTGTTTTATTTCATACAGAGCGTCAAGATTGAAAAATGACTTCATTAAAATATGAAGTCACTTTCCAATAGATCCATTCTACATAATATTACTACGATAAATACAATAGTAATTATACAAGAAATAATAGAGAAAAAGTCGATTTCTACTTCACTGTTTATTCCAGTTTTTCTAGTAATTATATTTTTATTGGGAAATTTGTGAGCCACTTTGTACTCGAGGTATTTATGCATCATTTTTTCCATCAGTAATCGTACTTAAGTGACATAATTCTGACGTTCCGCGGCCCAACTTCGTCAGATATACACCAACCCCCAAATTGAGTATGATCGCGTCGTCTTCATATTTATACTCTTGATGTGGACAAGCGGCATGTGTATATAAACCCAGAAACTGGGACATATAGCTAGTCATATTTCATTATATTACTGCACATATATTCTTAGATAACACGTTTTTATTACTACAAGCTAAGCACTATAAAATTGCACCATTCTTGAGATACGAAATATCGCCATATTGTTTTAAGTCCAGCTACTCAGCTACTGCCTTTCCTCTCTATCGTTCAGTCGAAAGAGAAACAGAATGTTTTATAGTTGTTTTAAATATATTGTACAACCATTAGAAACTGCACCTACTCGCATCGCAAAGAATGCTGGATGGCCGGTAATTTATATGGACTCTAGCTGCAGTTAAAATAATGGTATTTCATTACTGAAGTGCATGCATAAAACCATTACGGCTCACAAGTGCGGCCATTTGGTTTAACTTGTCAAGTACATTTAAAGTGGCACTCAAAAAACTCCGATTAGGCAATAAACCGACAAAGAGTGGCGCAAAAAATAACTATTATTGTCTCTTTCTTTAAATAACGACAGATTTATATAAATAGCATAATTATACACACTAAATGTTTTATTTATAAAGAAAAAAATCGACTATGACAACATGAAATTGGACTTACTTTACCTGAATTCAAAAGAAGTTCCTTCTAGCTCTTTTCTAGTTACTGAGTATTATTATCTTTTTTTTTTTAATAAACAATACTATGCACTTTACTACTTTTGGAGAAAATCTGTTGTGGACAAAACGTTCAATCAAAAAATGTTACACTTTTTTATATAAGAAAAATCACGTAAAATCTTTAGTGTTAGAAATAGGTATTATTTATAAGAATATCAAAAAAAAATTGAGAATACAAAACAACAGACCAAGAGATGCCAAGAAAGTGTAGAACCAGGAGGCCAATTCTACAAAATAAATTTTGTTTAAATCGAATTGTATCGTATGTCACTTTGTAGAATAGAAAAACCATTAAAAACTAGTTTCGTTGGGTTTCGATCCGTTTTCGATTCGATTTAAACAAAATTTATTTTGTAGAATTGGCCCCCAGGACGCAGTGTTACGCGCAACTATTCAATTTTCAAAATCACTGAATTCTGATATATATTTTCTGTCTGATGTATCAGTTTACTGCCCTTATAAAAGTTTGTTATTATTATACTATGAAAGTCCCTAGGCTACATTGGGTATTATAATTTTAATTTATATGGTCGTGCAGTTAGCAGGTATACAGTTTTCGTTTTCCATTTTGCCATTTAAGGAACCAAAAAAAATACTGAACTGCTTTTTATATATCTTTCCGTATTTTTCTCTTAAATTAGATATAGTTTCGACAAGCCTTGTTTTAGTAAAAAAATATATTAATTTTATTGTTACGTTAACGTTATATGCATAAATTGTCTGCGCATAAGGGTTGGTTGTGACTCTAATGAGTAGAGAATTTTTACAAATAATAATAACGTATATATAGACGTGGTCGAATGTGGAGAAATCGTCTATCTCTTTCGTTAGTCTTCCCAGTGTGATTTCGGAAAAGACTTTGTATAAGATTAGTATTGGACTAATGGGCTATAATGATCAACTGTGTTTTTATCTCCTTTCTTATGTAAAGTATACCGTAGAACGTAAAAATAAAAATATATTAAAAAGAAATAGACACATAATAGAAAAAAATCATTTTCTACATTAACCCGACCTTAAAGATGACTACGCCTTAAATCCCTTGTGCGAACGCTAATAGTTAATCTCTTAAATTTCAAAATAAGTTCAAAAACTAAAACCCGATTACAACTAAATCACGCCCTAAAACGTTTGAAACACGAAATTTTTAGAGCGTGATTTAGCTTTAGTCGTGTTTTAGTTTTTGAACTATTTTTTTTTATTCAATAAATTTTCGGGTGTTTTTAAGCTATCAATATATATTTGAAATGTGATAATTAAGCCCTTTCATTTAATACCCTACACGGAATGATTGAATAATATATTTTTTTAGTTTCTTACTGTATGTTCTCTAGATGGCGCTGTTGCTAATTTATTCTAAAGTCACATGTAGGCTGTGTTCTAATTATACATCATTTGTCCAGTTACGATGACTAATTTCGAAGTTATAAGGGAACAGATGAACATTCTTACATACATACCGGCCAATAACCCTCCTTTTCGATTCACCATAGGCGTTTAAAAAACATGTAAAAGTTCGATTTCAGAGAAATAAGAGGTTAGGCGGTTAAAAATATGCGAAAGTTCAATTTCAGAGAAATAAGAGGTTAAGTACCTATCTAACGATAGAAGGGTTTTTGTAACCCAAACCCTTTAACTTTTTTAATATGCTTATTTTATTACCTGTAATTTTGTAAGAAACCCTATAACTTTTTTAATATGCTTATTTTATTACCTGTAATTGTTTGAATACTTACTCGCTAATGCTTTTTCCAGGTAAGCTTTATCGTTGACGGCGTGTGCCCAAGTAACTGTCGTCAAATTCTTCATTACTTCTTCTTCACATTGTGCCATGGTGGCTGTAAGAGATAAATTTAAGATTAATTTTAAAACTTCTAAAATAGGAGAAATGGTGTTTAATTTTAAAACATTCTTGGCAACACTTCACTAATGTCAAACATAACCTTACAAATATAAAAGAGTGTTTGTTCCTTGAGTATAAAATACTCAAGGAACAAACATTTATTTCGATTATAAATTTTGAATAGTCTACTGGCTCAATATACCTTTATTTAATAATTATTGGTGCAACTTACAATTTGACAAGGAATGTATTGGTGAATCGTCCACCAACAAAAATGTAACGCTAGTGTTACTGATTTGAAACGACAATTTAAGTCGGTCGGCTTATACCTACGTAAACGGTCCGAATCGTACTTTGTTATCTTCAATGCTTTTTGTTTTTAATTATTATTATTCAGCTATTCATTTGAAAAATGGTTATTATTACAATAACGAAGACATAAAATATGAATATAATGAGGCAATATTCTTTATTCAATATTTCTTAAAATTGATTTGTAAATAATGTCATGAATCCTTTCAGATAATTTATAGCAATGTTTCGTACCTGCGTCTGATAATGAAGAAGTATTTAAAAAAATTAGTTCCCTAAATCAAACTAGATGTCGCTACGTACGTTCTTGATTTCTCTATGACAACCCTTCCTTTTTAAAACTCAATAAACAGCTCATATTCTATTTGTACATTTTCGTATTTGTTTTGATATCTATGTTTCGAACTTTGCAAAATTCAGTTTTTTAATTTGTAAGTTAAAAGGAACGGAAATGACTATCTTTGATCCATTATTTTCCTGTAAAAAATCATTTTTTGCTGGAGACGCTATCTAGTGGAGGTGCTTTTTAGAGCGTTCTTTTATTAGTTTTTAAAAAAAATCCTCATTGGACTTAGATATGCAAACACAGATCCAACCCACATGATGTCAGTTTTGATAAAAAAATATCTCTTGTTTTTAGTTAAAGTTTACTGTAGATTGTATTTTCTTTTATTTATTTATCAAGAAGATTTACATATTTATAGGAATTTAATTATAATTTTCTTTTCTTTTGAAATCTTCCTGGATCTCTATTGCAAAATTAATGTCGATGGATCTTTTTTACGAAATATATTTGTATGGAGGGTAGTGATATATTGGCAAATGGTAATCATTATATGGTAAGGATTATAAAAATCAATATAATATAAATTTACATAAATACAGTACTATATATAGTACAATATTTAACGATATTGCTGCGATTACAAAAAAGAACTTGGATGTTTCTTGCTTCATGCTGCATGCGTCTTTCTTTTAAAATATGAATAATTGAAATATTAATGTACCAGTTACGATAGATCTTTTTGTGGGTTAGGGAAGCCACAAATATACGCTGGAGAAGTCGCGTAATAAACAATAAATAAAGCTTTTTTTACGGGAGTTTCATCTAGCTTTACATTGGTGAAATAATGTTTAAAATCCATCAAGTCGTTTTTGAGTTTATTCATTACAAACAACAGAACAAAAATTGTCATCATTCTTCTTTATAATCTTAGAAACACTTCTTTATAATCTTAGTACATAATCTAACAAGAGTCTATTTAAATAATCGATATATTTTGTTTTAAATAAATCGACTTTGACTTAAATGGCACATCCTGACATTCTCAATCTGTTATAAAGATCTCTAATATAAAATTAAATCCTTCGAGTATCTGAATCTCGAGACCTAAGCTATTGTAAACGTCATATGAACATCTATGTAAAATATAGCTCGTATATATAGTGGTTAACTGGTAATAATATTCAGACAATCTCCACCTACGCGATCTCACCACTAGAGACGTCATCCAATCCAGATGTGAACAGATAAATCTCAATATATATCAATTTGACCTCTGTATAATCTTCTGCTTTAGATTATTAATCTTATCTGATACCTAACTTCTCAAATTTTGTACTAAACATGTTTTAAAAGATGTAGAGTAAAAATTAACATATTTATAAACAGCGGCTTACTTATCTTTATATTATAGGTTTACAAATGAAAATATTGATATATAAATTATATTGGTTATTCTAAAGATCTAAGAACCATTTACTTTTAGATATTAAACTGAGACGCAAAACATAGGCATTTCACAACGTATTATTTTACAATTAAGTTTTACTTATATTGAAAATATAACAATGTTGTTAAAGTCATTCGTATAATTTTATTTCAAGTTTTTAAAATATATCATTTATTTAAAAATGAAAATCTTTTGTTTATAACTATTTCTATGATTATGAAATTATTATAAAAAACAAAGGGCCAGTTTCACAAGTTCAGGTTAACTTGTAGATCAAGATTAATGGCAAAATAATTAATTCCATTTTTAAATCAAATAAAAAAAAAATGTTCATTCAGAATCTATGAAACTGATCTTAATATTATTATGCCAAAAACTATGTACCAACCTGCTAGAGCCAACGTTATCACCAGTTGTAACATTTTTGAAAATTAATACAATTAAATTAGAATAACGACTCATAAATTAATATTTGCAGCGCAGTGACATAGTTGCCTGTTCGGATGGCGCGCACCGTCTGATCCTGGTTATTGGCAAATTGATCAATTTAGAGGTGATTGCGACGGTGAACATGATTTGTAGCAAGGCCTTGCAAGTACGGGGACTGATGCTGAACAGTTATAAAACTCATACTTAGTAAGTTTTACTTTTTAAGTTTTATTTTTTAACTTCGTAGAATCACTTCCATACTTAATTTGCGCAAGCCAATATCAAATTATATATTAATAACACTGACGGTGGATTTCTAATATTCACCATTTATTTTCGATTTTAATATGATTTTTGTAATACACTCTGTCGCATTTCGCTGTGAATGTATTCGTTTGGGATAGTTTGTATATATATAATTTTAAAGTAAAATATCAATGTTGAGTATAGTCATTTATCGTCTATCAAAGAACCTACTTTCCACTTTTTTAGAAGAAAAATTGTTGTTCATTATTTTTTTGCAAGATTATAACGAAAGGTAGTGTGTTCTTAACGTGGTATTCTCATTTACTCTGTGAAGTATTTTGTATTACCGTATCACTAACTATACCTTTAAATTTACAGGTATAAAATAGAGTCAGTTCACAATATTTCCCTTCTCAAATACATCCACATAGACTTAGTAATAGTTACCCCCTAGGACACCTTACCTAAAGCTATAGGTATATTGTGTGCAACATTTCATCGAAATCCGCTGAAATAATTTTGCCATAGAAAGATAAAAAATATCCTGACTGCCACTTTTATAATATTACTGGGATATTTAAAATGCATTCCAACAGTCCCCGACTGTACCCGTCGGAAGAACTCTGACGTTACAGATTGTGATACATACGCACTAGATTTATCATCCGGTTTCTCTTAGCTATAAAAGTCACAAAGGAATCTAAACTGCACAAAACAGATTACTCACTAAATATTTCTAGATTATACACATGTAATTGTGATTATTATTGAAATTTTTATATTTTCAAATTCTTAATTTTTGTTTTGCGCAACCACGAATATGCCGGTTCAAAATGAAAATCAGTGCTTTGCTCATTGAGTAAATATCCGCTGAGTTTCGCCCATTTTCTTCGCTACGGCACTTATGTTGTTCCCAGCTTACTTCATTTTTTATTTTATACTGTACTGTTTTTATATATAAAATTTACATATGTGACATTATGATGCAAATAAAGAAGTTATTTACATATACTCAAAAAGCATTAACACATCAGTTACATGTAGTAAGCAGTCTAAGCATCTTACGTTACCGGAAAATAAAAATACATGACAAATGTTTGTAACCCATAATTTAAAGAAAACTACATAGGACAGGATGCCAACGGACAAATTCATGACTGAATCTGAATTCGAGGATTCGTCCTATAGAACACCAATTGTTCTATAGGAGGACGTTATATCATTCTATTTTTAATGAGTTATGTAGTTAAGGTAATTGTGCTGCAGCTGCAGGTAATGTTTATGTAATAATTTCATCTCGATAGTAAGTATCTTAACTACTTGCATTTTGCCAATGTACTTTCTACTTGAAATTATATCAGCCTCCAGGACCAACTGCTTTATGTGCCTTCTATTCGTTCTTGAGCTTTAGTGAGAATAACACACGTTATTTCATTTATAGATATGGAAAATTCATTATGATCAGTCTTAAATATTATGGTGGTCATGAAATAACAGGTCTTCTATTGATTATAACATTGAGCTACTGACCAATAATTACTAATAGAGAACTTACTAGTATTTTTATAATGGCATATGAGAACCAAGTTTTTAAAATTTTTTTCACACTGCATCTGAACATATTATCATTTATAGGGTGTTACCCTTTCTTAAAAAATAAAGGCAAATAAAAAACGTTAGATTTCAGTTATAAATTCTTTTAATGTTACGAGGTGAATATAAGATTTTTATAATCTCCTTAGAACTTATATATTAAACAATATCAAACATAACTTATAAGTTATAACGCTGCTAAGATAATACAAAATTAATGTCACTATAAACTTAAATATAGATTATTTTTATCTCGCGGTGAATTTACAGTAAATGCAAAAAAATATATACTACAGGACAAAGATTATTTTGTTATGTGCATTACCTTTTTTTGTTAACGCAAGGTAAATGCACTTTATGCCTCAAACCGGGGCTGTCCAACCAGTAAAACCAGTCTGTAGAACGATTCTGTCAAAATCCGAAACCGAATTCGAATTCACTCAGTCGATCGAATTAATTTCGAAAGCGTAATCCGCTTAACCTTGAATTGGTATTAACGTTTCGTGGCATAAGTGAAGTGTATTTCGAAATGACATAAGGATAGAATATCTGAAACACGTATGAATCAATCAATCTTATTTTGTATTTTTATACAAAAAATGGAATTAATGGAATGTCTCATCATCATCAGCCCTTTTACGTCCCCACTGCAGGGGCTCAGGCCTTCCTTATGGATGGTATGTCTACATGGAATGTCTACATCAATATAATTTAAACGGATTCGCTTTCGAAGTGAATTCGGACACGTAAGTGAATTGGGATTGGAATTGCTATGCTGGTAAAGCCTCGGTTTCGCATCTGGAACCGATCGGAATATGCTAAACCCAACCCCACGCATTATCTATCAAAATTTTCATGTGTTTCAAATATAAAATTATAAAACACTGGTTAGGTAAAAAAAAAACATATTTTTTCATGATTATCTAACCTGTTCCTTATTTATAATATAATACTTTTTGGTAAAAAAAAAATTATATCGTCATCATGTAGGTATGCATTAGTTGTACGAATTTATATAAAATTACTTATTACGTAAGAATTTTATTATTAAATATATATATTTTTTTAACCTTAACTTTTTTCTGCATTTCTCTTCCCACCATTTACCGATGACGTGTCGTCAATATATAAGAATCGGAAGTAAGCGAATAGATACGTACAAATGTTCATTTGAGTTGAGTTCTTCAGCTACATGTTGACATAAGAATACTACAAAAGGATATACTACTAATATACCGTAACCTGTTAATGAATAAATTTAAAAGCACTTGCAGAAATTCAACCTTTTGTATCAAGCTCATGCATAAAAAGTAAGATCACCACTCACATCTACAAATAAACAAAAAATATGATGGTTAGTGAATATATTACATTATTTATAAAAAAGCCATGACTTGCTAATGTTTGGTATTGTTTTTGCATTTTACAATAAATAACTTAAGAGTATTTTAGAGATTACGCTATTTCGTTTCGCAATAAAATATTACTCCACTCGTATTTTATTCATAAAAAAATAGAAAATGCGTTTCAAAATAAATTTGTACAATTAATTAATAACATTTTAGGCCACACGTACATGATCTAGTTATCTTTCTATTAACAACTCTTGCGTTCCATTATCTCATACCCTGTTTTATTTCAAATTAAATCAGAAAATAGTTTAAATTCTACGTTTTTTTTGGAGAGACAAAATAGGTAGTCGGGACAATATTATTGTTCTGTGGTCAACACAGATTCGTGTCTTCTTCTTTTTTTTTAATTAATGGCGTTGCCCTTGTGGATTTCGCCAGAAACCAGTGTTTCGCTCAGATTACTACATATTTTAGTATTTTATAAACTCAATACCCATTTTGTGTTATATGAATAATAAATGACAAGTCATTTACAGCGTAGACTATTCATATTTTAATATTAAATCTAAATTAACACGTACTATATTAAAAACTTTTTGTGTCATATAATACAAAAGTAATATACCTAATTGACACTCATACAAAAAACTATTATTGTCCACATGTGAGAATTAAGATGAGAATGATATTAAAATTTACTAAATATTTGAAAAAAACAATCGCAGTAAGATGAATTTCCCAGGTAGAAAACAAAAAAAAAATACTAACAAAAAAGCTGTCCAAACTGATACCTTTTCTATAACATATCTAATTGTAATTTTTTCCGAAAAAATCTCAAGCAAAAATAGATTACAACAATTTCCAGGAACTACACTTGTTGAATAGAATTTAATTTATGAAACGTTGCTTGTTACGCTACTTCTGATTTAATTAGTTTTTATTCATAACAATTAATATAACCTAAATATAATGAAATATTTACAATTTTGAAAACAAATCGTTAATAAAAACAGAGGTATTTTTTTCCCAGTTATTGATAACTAGGAAGAATGTGGACCGCAAAACTATTAAATATTTATTCTTAATGAAAAATGCTTAAAAATCCACTTGGTCCCTGGCACCATGAGATGGGATTCGAACCCATGACCTTCAGCAATCCGGGCGACAGCGAGAACATGTTGAGGGAGACCTTCTTGGTTTAAGATCTTTTTAATTAATTTAAATTTAAATATTAACATTTAGGCAATCTGTTCTGTTATTATATAATGTTATGTTATTATATATTGAATGTAACTCTTCGTAAAGCTATTGTCGGTACTGATTGTATTTTATAAAGTATATTTATCTTTGGTGGTAAATAAACTCATGTGACCTAAAAGCTCCCTGGTCTTTCTCTATACCCGTTTTACCATCGAGTATCAGAACAGTCACCAAGTGGATTTTTTAAGCATTTATCATTAAGAATATAAATTTAATAGTATAGCATTATGAATGCGAAATTGATCAAATATAATATTAAATTTATATGATAATAAACCAATTACTTATACATAATATGATAACTGATCACAGCAATGCAATATAATACAAAAACAAGATAATAACAATAAAGATATGGACTGACAAATACATTGGTGCATCGGTTATTTATTATAAAAACTACTAACAAGGTTCCATTCAGTTGTCAGCAAAAAAATATTTCTCTATAAATAAATATAAACTATAAATCTCATTATTATATAACCTCGATGTCCATTTTGTCATATTTTCTATAAAATTTATTAAATACATGATCTAAGGTACCGATTCCAGTTATGTAATCTATAAAATGTATAAATACTTGGGAATGTACCGATTCGAATAAGAAACGAATCTTTTTATACCAATAAATCTTGTGTA